CTGTTGAGTGGTGTCAGTAGGGCATGTCCCTGACCTGTTGGTGCGTGGACAGAAGCCACTCCATTGCACCTGTGGCCCACTCGACATCTCAGAAGCATGTGTGATCACTGCAGGACTGGTGGGAAAGGGCCCCAACAGGCCATTTTGCAGATGGGAAGGCTGAGGCCTGGGGAGGGAGTGTGGCTTGCTTAGCCCCTTGCTGGGCAGAGGCTGGACTCAGCTGTGGCCTGCAGCTCCAGCTCCCACTGCCTTGTTTGGGCCTCTCTGAGTTCCCTTCAGTTCTGCTAGGTCCCTGGGGCGGTGGATTCACCACCTGAGAGCCTCCCTCCTGGGGAAGCTTCCTGCTGAGCCCTCAGGGTGGGGAGGGAGGCCTAATTAGCACATGTTGGGGCTTTGAAATCCCAGAGATGAAAGGCTGGTCTGTGGGAGGTCCCAGCTTCCCTTCACAGCCTCTGTGGGTTCCCCATCTCCAGGCCTGGCACACTCCTGGGCCCCCTCCACCAGACCCACCTCGAAGCTCCCCGCCCTGGGCCACACGCCGCCTGGCCTGGGCACACAGGAAGTGGCACCTCTCTGGGGCCCCTGAGTCAGAGGGGCCGGAGGTCTGGTGTCTTGGCCCGCCCTGCCCGAAGCAGCTGCAGAACAGAGGGCCTCGGCCCCTACCTGTAAAGCGGGTTAGCAGCAGCGCCTGGCGTGTACCTGCTGGTGCGGCGTGTTGAGCTGCAGTGAGGATGTGGGCTTGTTTGCGCTGCGTGGTAGGTGCTCTGAGGTGTCAGCGTTCGCTATTGTTATTGTTCCCAGACTCTCACCTTGACCTCCGAGTGGACGGGCAGGGGGCTGGCAACTCCCCGCTACCGGGCATTCCAGGTGGACAGGCCCCGTGGGGTTGCAGGTTCAGGGACAGCGCCCTGGCCTCCCTGCCCAGATAGGCGTCTCAGAGCAGCCGTCAGCCTGCTTTCCCTGCACCTGCCTCGGGCCCAGCCTGAACCTTAAAGCCGGGCCGGGTGGGGCTGGTGCCTTGGCGGGGAGCTCTGGGTGTGAATTTGCATCAGTGGGGCTGAGGAGCAGGTGGGGGCGCCTGGGGCCCTGCCCAGGGCTGTCTCTTGCCTTTCCAAGGCCTGGTGTGGCCGCTGTGGCCTGAGGGGTGGCAGGCTAGTCGGTGTGGATTCCTGACCGGCCTCCTGTGGATTCTTGTCTTGCAGACTTCTCCACCCAGGTGACCTCCTCCTCCCTCAGCTCCCCCACAGGGCGCGGCTCCATGGCTGCTCCCTCGCTGCACCCCTCCCTGGGGCCTGGCATCGGCTCCTCGCTCGGCGCACCGGGGCAGCTGCACTCGCCCATCAGCACCCTGAGCTCCCCCATCAACGGCATGGGCCCACCCTTCTCCGTCATCAGCTCCCCCATGGGCCCCCACTCCATGTCGGTGCCCACCACACCCACCCTGGGCTTCGGCACTGGAAGCCCGCAGGTAAGTGTGGGCGGGGCCTGGACTGGAGGGCGGGGCCGGGAGTCAGGTGCTCTCACTTCCAACCTCTCTGACACAGTCTCAGAGAGGCGGCCTCAGCCTGGGTCTGAGCCCAGGTCTGGCTGACTCCGGCCCCCGAGGTCATCAGCTGAGCTCCCTTGCTGGCCCTCTGTTCCAGCAAGGCCCCCTTGGTGGGGGGCTCCTGCCCCGTGCCACCGAGCTCTGTAGGGTGGGGTCTGCACAGTCCTCAGGCTTCAGCCCGCCTCCCTGGAGCCCCGGGCCTCTCTGCTGCCCCTCCCTTCCCTGGCCCCAGGCCCTCACCCTCCCGGTCTCCGCTCACACCCGTGCCGGGTGTCTGGAGCTCCCTGCCCAGACTCCCAGGCTTGGGGAACACACGTCCCTACTCGGGCTGCCAGGCCCAAGTCCTGCTGTGGCTTCAGACCGCCTGCTGGGCTCAGCGGTCTTCTCTGTGGTCCGCGGTCACGTGTGCTCAGGGGCTTCTCTGAACAGTTTGCTCCTGGAGTTGTGTCCAGGCAAGGGGGCAGCTGGCGCCTGGTGGCCTGACTCAGCCAGGTCTTGCTGTGGGGACCCGCAGGCCCGGTCCACCCTCCCCACCCTGGGTGCCTCTCGCCCGAGCCCCTGCAGCGGTGCCCTGAGTTCCCAGGACCCCGGCTGGGCATCTCCCGTCCTAGCTCCGGTGGGTTCCTGCTGGGTTCCTTGTGAGACTTCTGGGAGACCTGCTGGAATCCTGGGAGTGCTGCTTCTGTCTGGGCTCAGACTGTCCTCCTGAAATAGGAGGCACGCCTTTGCCTGGAGTGTCATTCAAGTTTGGGTTCCATAGCGGAGGGTCCCCCGAGCAGGACAGGGCCCCGTGGTGGGGAGCTCAGGCGCACCACCTCCGTGAGGTTGCAGGACAGCCCTCCAGAGAGGGCACCCCGGGGCAGGCCCCGCCGTCCAGAGCCACACAGCTAGTCTGGGCATCGTGTCCTGGGCACTCCCCGCTGCTTTTGGGCCAGGCCGCCTCCAGGGCAGCCCATCCCCACCCCCGGCCCAGGAGGTTGGGGGCGCCACCGAGGTCTGGGGCCAGCTCGCTGCCCATCAGCTGGGCCTGTCCCGAGCTGGTTTTGGTGGAAGATCTCACTGGCTCTTCCAGGGTGACCTTGTCAGCCCCTTTGTGCCTGGAGGACGGGTACAGAAGAGCTGGGCCTTCGGGTGCCCCCTCCTGTCACCTAGCCTTCCAGAAGCAGGCAGAAGGCCTGAGGTGTTGGCCTGAGGGGGTCTCGGCTGCCTTCAGGGCCTGGCCGTGTTGTTTGTAGCGTAGCCTCCACACCCGCGTTCTTGCTGGCTGTATGACTCCGCTGGGTGAGAGGACAGGCGCAGACTGGGCGTGCACCTGTCCCCTGGGAACCGGGACAGTGGCGGCACCTGCTGGCTCTCAGAGCCCCAGGAGGCTCCTTGGTGGCACCGAGGCCTGATGCCCACCCTGCACGCCCCAAGGGCATGTGTGTGAGCCCGAGTGTGCAGAGACACAGGGCCGAGGGTGGCCGTGATGCCCCCAAACCTTGGGGGTGCCTGGTGCCCCTTGGCACTGTTAGCCTGTCTGGGGGCAGGGGTGGGGCAGTGCTGGGGATTCAGGGGTTTGCGGGACCACCTCCTTCCTGCACACAGTGAGGCTCCTGGCACACAGTAGGAGCTTGTTGAATCCAGGGTGAGGGGTGCCAGATGTTCACCCCTGCCCTGCTGGTCACCTGCCATCTGGTCTTCGTTCATCAGTTAGGCCCAGTTAGTGTGGCTGTGGTCTGAGCCCTGTGCTCGGCCTCTGGCCACCATTCCTGGGGAGGTCTCGGTCTCTTCAACCCCTGCCTCCACCCCTGGCCCCCAGAGCTCCTTCCCTGGGGGCTGACTTCAGCTTTAGGCTTCATAGTGTGTCATCAAAGCTTGGGGTTCCCCACATTCATGGCAATGTGGGTGGAGTTCAAGGGGAGCACGCCCCCACCCCCGCCTCAAAACCACAACCGCGAAGTCACGGTGCCGGAACCAGCGAGGATCCCTGACTTCTGCTGTTGTCGGAAAGGGCCTGCTGCTCGGCCCTCGCGTCCACGCGGGAGGGCCGTCGACATCCCTGAGTCCTCTCCACCTGACCCTGCCCAACAGGGAAGTGGACACGGTGGGTGGGGGAGAGGAACCAGGCAGAATCAGGCCAGACCATGGGCGCTGTTGCCCAAGTGGCCCCGTGTCTCTCCCCGCATCAGCCCAGGCAGCATTCCCCACTGCGTCCCCAAGCCCGCCCGCAGTGCCTGGCACCAGCCTGGCCAGCCTCCCCCGGGCAGGACCTGCGTGGGTCCTGCCTGCTCCCCGTGGTGGACATCGCAGCATGGGGCCTCCGTGACGGGGCGTCCGCGAGGCCACGTGCGCTTCACAGGGTTTGCCCGCTGCCTTGATGGCAGATGGAGGCCAGCGAAGCCAGGGGCCTCCCACCCCAGTTCCAACCATGGGTGATGGCCCCCAACTTAGGCTGGGTGTGGAAGAGACAGGCAGGAGACCTAGGGGGGCACTGATGGAGGCGGGTGGTTATTTCAGTTGGTCCCGCAGGCTCCATGGAACTGAAATAAATGCCAAGGATGTGAAAGGGGAAACGGGATGAGCCCCCACCCTCACCGCGCCGTGGTCTGCAGGCTCCAGAAGGAGATGTTGGAGCCCAAGGTGGAGCACAGGAGGGGAGCCATCCCCCAACTGTGGGGTGCTCTCCTGGCAGGATGAGGCCCCCATGCTCTGTCCTGGGAGCTGTGAACCCGGCCCGAGGCTTGTCAGCTTGGGGCTGGGGAGGGAGAAGGCCCCCACACCCCTGTGTCCTCGCTGTTGTGGCCATGCCAGGACGCCTACCAGTTGAGGCAGAGAAGTGACATGGTGGCCGAAGGCCTGGGCTGAGGGTGCGTCTGCTGCCCAGTCTCCATCTTCCCACATGTGCAAGGCCTCCTAGGGCTGATTGCTGTGCCCACGGGAAGAACGCCTGAGCCCAGGGTGGGGGGAACAGGGATGCCCTTGGCACACGGCCTGGGAGCCAGCTTGGCCATGAGCCTGCTGACTAACGCTCTGTCCATCCTTCCTGTGTCTCCTTCCTGATGCGGTCTGGCCGGCCGTCCTCAGTGCTGCGGCCCTGCCTCAATTTACCCAGGCAGGTGCCAGTCCCAAGGGCCTGCCCTGGGGGCTGGGAGACAGGACAGGTGGCCCTCACCCACCCGGATGATCTGGGTACCCATAGAAAGGGGAAATGCCCGTTCCTCTCCTCGGTGCCGCCCCGCAGACCCAGCTGCATGGAGTTGTGGTCGGGCTCCGACAGCCTGAGAGGGGCCTCGTGCCCAGTGTCCAGCCCTGGCCGCCTGCTCACGTGTCCTCAGTGGCTGCCTCGGCCCCTGCTGCGGACCCTCCACCACGGGCTGCATCGATTTCCTGCCCTTTTCCCAGCAGTCGTTCGGTTCCCCCACCTCCAAACGATCGTTCTGGTGGCCTCTCTGCCTGGGACACCGGCTTCTGTTGTCCAGGCCCAGCTGGCCTGGCGGCGCCCCCCGGAGGCCCGAGCGCTAACGCATCGGCTGGTTTGGGTTCGTTAGCTCTGCTGTCAGCGCTGCCCACGAGTCGCTCCGTTATCCTGATGGCAGCCCTCAGGCGGAGGCCTCGTGTTATTCCAGTTTTCACACAAGGAAACTCAGTGATTAGATTGTTTATCCAAAGCCACCCAGGGAGTGGAGGAGTCAGAGTCCCTGGGACAAGCTGTGGCTGTCCCCTTCCCACCTGCCCGCAAGCTCCACAGGCCACGCAGGGCGTATTCTCCGGGGCCTCTGGGCGCCCGGTGGGCACTCAGTGAACAGCCAGGTGGACGGGATCACCCAGTGGCTCTGGGCCGGCCAGTCCTCTGGGGCCCCGGCACCCCTTCTGAGCGTACAGGGACCCCTCAGTGCTTACAGCTCTCAGGGGCCTGAGCTCACACCTGCTCGGCCACTTCTCGGCTGTGTGCCCTCGGCCGGTCCCCCGACCTCCCTGAGCCTCCGTGTCCACTCCGGAAAGGGGAGTGCAGCTTGCCCGCTCACTGAGGGCTTCCCACGTGGCAAGAGGCCCGTGCACAGCCGTGCCCAGTAGCACTTAGCAAACAGCCAGCGCCCTGCGTAGTCTGCTCTCTTATTAGTGAAATGTCTCTGAAGCCTGCAGACGCTGCACGGGGGTACTCTCAGCTGACACATAGGGTGCCCTGTTCTGCAGTGGGGTCCCCTGGACACTCTTTCTCCCACCTCCTGAGTCCTGACAGCCCTGAGCTGCAGGGGCTGGCCTCTCGGCAGCCCCCAAGTCTCGTGGGGTTAAGCGTCCTCATAGACCCCCCGGGGCCCACCTGGGCAGAGGAGGAACCCAGCACTTGCCAGGTGCTGAGACTGGTGGGAAACAGCCTTTGGGATGGTTTGTTTTGTGTGCTTTGAGCACCCAACTCTTCCTGTCCCATGAGAAAGGAGAATGGGAGCTGGGGGCTGCGGGGAAGGAAGGGGGTGAGGCTCCCTTGTGCACGGGGGCCCAGCACGACAGCTGCTGTCCATCCACAGACATCACACAGCCCGACTTCCGCCTTTGCCAGGGCTTTGCAGAACGGGGGTGCTGGGGGCTGCCTGGCTGGGGTCCTGGCCCCAGCGTAGACCGGCTGGCTCGCAGGGCGCAGCGGGAAGCACCTCCGGGCCCTTGGCACTGATGGGAGAGCTGGGGTGGGCGCAGCGGAACCAAAACCGCTGTGTCACTGCAGCCGCGGCCGCTGTTGCCAGGGTGACCGGTGAGTTTCCCACGCTTCCTCCTGGCGCAGCATTAGGATGGCGGGAGGGGTGGAGGGCATGTGTGTGTATGTGTGTGTGTGTATGTGCGCGTGTATGTGTGTGCGTGCGTGCGTGTGTGTGCTTGCATGTGTGTGCGTGTGTATGTGTGCGTGTGTGCGTGTGCGTGTAGGGGTTGGTGTCTCCTCCCTCTCTCCTTGGGTCGTGTGATCTTTGACCCCCACCCTGCCTGCTGAGGCTGTGTGCCCTGCTGGGGTGGACACCCTCTCCTCCCTCCTCACTGCGACCAGACTCGGTGCCCACCTGTGGGCCAGGGGTCCCCAAAGCGCCTGCCTCCCCAGGGGGTCCCGGAGCTCTCGCTGGCCTGTGGGGGGAGCACCCAGTAACGGCAGGCAGTTCTTACTTAGGTGGGTGAGGGATGCGCGTATGAGCAGGGGCCTCTCGAGGTCTTTTTCACGCCCGGTTGCTGTGGGAGGGTGGGGCTCCGAGGGCGGGACAGCCGCCGCCAGCCTGCCGTGCTCGCAGGCTGAGCACCCAGCTGCCCCTCCGTGGGGCCTGGGGTGGACAGGGCCCCTCTCTGAGCCTCAGTTTCTCTCTCTGTACAGTGGGGGTGTGGCAGCACCTTCTGGCCCCCAGGGCTGACCGCGGTTTCCCCTCCTCAGCTCAGCTCCCCCATGAACCCCGTCAGCAGCAGCGAGGACATAAAGCCCCCGCTGGGCCTCAACGGTGTCCTCAAAGTCCCGGCCCACCCCTCAGGGAACATGGCGTC